CCTCACCAGGCGGTACAGTATCGGATGCCATCTCAGAAGTACTCTCCCCACAGACGGCGCCAAATGTTTCGGGGTTTTTGGAGTCCCTCGGGAGAGTTATAATTCTGGGAATGCGCGCCGACCGTCTGTACCTGCAAAACCACGAAACTCCGGTTGGGTGGAGTTCCGCCTCCGACGATCAAGTTAGAACGTCTCCGGATGTATAAAAGTGCGGAAAGTAAATGGGTTTTCTCTCTGATTCAGAGAGAATTCTGCAATTAATATTGCTCGGTTTTTTGTGTTTGTATTTATGAGTGTTTTCTGAATCCCCAATAAATGAGGAGTTTCCTCTATTTATAACAGATGAAGATCTGCTCCCCTATTAGGGTTACAATGCCACGTGTTAGCATCCGATTGGATCCTACTTGGCCTTTCTGGGGGCTGACACGTGTCAGCTTACTATTGTTCCACGTGGCATAGGGTTTTTTACCCCAAACAATTATTACTTATTTTGCAAATTGATTGCAAAATTGATGGAAGTGGAAAAGGACAATATACGGATTACGTTTAAAAAATTAAAAAGAAATAACTAGACATGCCACTAATCCATTTTTAATTCGTTATACTCGTTTTTTCGAAAATTGACTTTGAGATATGAGTCTTTTATATAGGGAGTACATGTATTTGATGTATCATGTTCTTGTATTGTTTAATGATTTAATGGTTTTCAGTCTTTTCACCCAAAAAAAAAAAAAAAAAAAACCCAAACCATCTTGTTTAGTGGTAACTTGCCTTTAATATTTTACTACATTGAATCCGAAAATAGGTTCTGCAAGTATTTGAAATGGTCTATTTATTTTTTAAATGTAAGAAGTTGTTTTCTCATAATGTAGACGCCCATGCATGTTCATTGTATCAAAACTTCTTAATTATACATTTATACAGACATACAGTTATGTGGAGTTACTTGTATAGATTAGCAAGATTACTCATCAAGTTTACAAGTTCAAAGTCAACTTGGAGCTTTGGATGAGAATCTTTTTACATCATTTTTATCCCCAGTTGCGCCATTCTAACATACTACTTTTTTATTTTTATTTTTTTTTTAATAAAGTGATATACGTAGTACTAACTTTCGCACAAAGTTATATAGGAAAATTATATAGGGTATATAGGTAGGTTGATTACCAAGCTTTGTTTGGTGTCACAAGTTCGAGTCTCACTAACTACAAAATGCTTGGGAGTAAGGGAATTCCCTTAACTTCCCCCTCTACTCTCAAGCGTTGACCTGCGGAGCTGAACTGGCTAAACCTGTGAGAGGTGTCGGTTCAGTAGGGTCCTTCATCTTACGTTTAAAAAAAATATATAGGTAGGGTGATTTGTTGGAAAATTATTACTTCGTACTTTCTCCGTTTTTTTAAAAAATATATAGTTGCAACAGTTTGACTTTTTATACTATATATGTGTTTCAATTTAACTAGCTTTAATGATTTATAGTTAAGCAAAGATATAGTCATGTGAGATCTTGTTTGATTCATCTCGATTTATACTATTTTAGTATCAAATGTTTATAACTTTTACATATTGGTAATTAAAGATATTAACAATTGAAATAATGCATCGACAAGCGTGAAAAGAAAAGTGTTGCAATTGAAATCATGCATCGACAAATGTGAGAAGAAAAAATCACTCCATGATGTATTAAAGAATGTAGGAGTGGGGGTAAGAAGTTATTATAGGATAGATGAACTATATTATCAAACAACACAAACTATTGGGTGCGGGCACCCGCACCCAACAGTTCGTGTGTCCGTAGATGACGATGAAGACGACGATGACGATGACGGCAATGGTGGATGCAACGATGACGATTACGATTGGCAATTGAAACCCTAGATTTGAAGCAGCGGTGGAGTGGCTCGTAGCAGGAAAACAACAGGGGAGGGGTCATGGTGGCTCACAGCAGGGCAACAGCAGGTTAGGGTGGTGGCTGGTTGGGTGGTGGCGTGAGGTTAGGGTGGTGGCTGGTTGGGTGTGGCGTGAGATTAGGGTGGTGGGTTAGGGTGAGTGAGGTTAGGGTCGTGGTTTGTTGGGTCTTGGGTGGTGGCGTGAGAAACAAAGGTTGTGGCATGAGAAATGGTGAGAAATGGCGAGAAATGGCGTGAGAAACAAAGAGAAAGGAAGAAAGAAGAGAGAGGAAGAGAGAGAAAGAAATAAATATAGTACGGAGTAGTATCATATTAGCCATTAAATAACTCATATCAGCCATCAAAATGTACATATCAGTCAATTAATGTATGATATCAGTCAATATTAGGGACATATGAGATATTAATAAAAACGTATCAGTCAACAGAAGAAACCTATAAGCTAACAAGAGTAATATATCAACCAATAAGAGTAAAATATCAGCCAACAAAAGGTACTAATCAGCCAAGAGACGGAACATATCATCCAACAAAAGAAGCATATCAGCCAACAAAAGGATGAAATCAGCAAACAAAAAGTACAAATAAGTCAACAAAAGGAACATATCAGCCAACAAATGAAGCATATCAGCCAACAAAAGGATGAAATCAACAAACAAAAGTAACAGGTAAGCCAACAAAATAAACATATCAACCAACAAAATGAAACATATAAACCAACAATTAAAATATACATATCAGCCAACAAAATAAATATATCAGCCAACTAAAGAAACATATAATTAAGTCAAATGATGTCTTATATCAGCCAATAAAGGGGGAAAAAAAAACATATCAGCCAACAAAAGGAATATATTAGCCAACACACAAACCATATCAGCCAACAAATGAAACATATCAGCCAACACATGAAACATATCAGCCAACAAGTAAATTATATCAGCCAAGCCACCCGCACCAAACAGTTCGTGCACTCGTCCGCACCCAATACCTTCTCATCAAACAAATGTCCCCTTTAATGATTTTTAGCCATATAGGTTGGAAATATTCTAATTTCTTCTTACTTTTTCTCTTGTTTTTCTTTAGATTTTAAATTTAGATTTCAATAAATCTACCCACACAGTGTTGTTGCTAGCCCGTTTTCCTATATGGTGGAGTCGTTGGTTATTGTTGGTTTAGTTATTCGTTTCACCTTAGGGAATCTTTATTTGTGTGTTAGGTTTATATAAAAAAAAGTAATTAAATTTTTCCCTATTATCGATTCGTTGCTAACAATTTGTGCGAGATCACAACGGTTGTTAAATTTTCTAATACAATCAAGTGAAAACCATTCTTATGGCTACAACAAATTGTTTGACCGTCTCTTCAAAAAAATTGTATAATCCGTCAATATATGCGAGGGATGTACCATATTGCAAGATTTATTCAATGATTGTAACTTTGATAAAGGAAACCTTTGTTTGATCCTATTTTATGTATTTGTTAAATTTAAGTTTTATTTGTAGATGTTGTATGACTTTTTATTAATACTCCAATACGAAGTATATAGTAGAGTGTTTTCTATAAAAAAAAAAAAAGAAATTGTGTTACTTTAAATTGGAAAAATTATTGTCTTTAAAGTAACTTTACACTCTATAAAAAGCACGGCGGTAATAATGCTTTTTCCCATAATTAATCTGTGATATAATATAAAATGAGGCAACTCATGTGGAATAAACAAATGTAATGCATATACGAAAGATGAAATAATAAGAAAAAAATTATTAAAACTACAATTGAAAAAAAAAATATATTATCGTTGATTAGTTGTGTTGAAAATATTTTAAAATAGTATATATTATATTACATTAATGATGCATGTTATTCCCAATAAAACTATACAATGTAGATGTCATATGGCTTTTAATTAATGAATTAATTTAGTTAATAAAAAAAAAACTATACAATGTACTTTCAAAAAATATGCTAAGTAGAATATTTTTTTTAAAAAAAAAAAACTAATTAAAGCTGACATCATATATTGTATTTAATTTTCGGAAAATTTTGTAATGATAGCTTGACATATGTCCAAAATGATCGATGTAAGCATGACCTATTTTAGTAATAGTTAATAGATTTTTTGAAGGAAAAAAAAGTTATAAGTTGGTAAATTATTATAGAAATATTTGACGGAAACCTAACTCAATTATTATTGGTTCATAAGATTTCAAATAAACACCATGAATAGAATTGTTTGTTTGGTTTTTTTTTCATTGAACCTCACTACTATACAACTATATATATAATTGTAATTTAAATGTCAATATTTTTTTTGCTCCGTTATTTTATGTTCTCCACCATATTTCAACCTTCTAAATTGTAGCTTATTCTCCCTTAATTAAAAGGTCACAAAATCTTGTATAACTTTTTAAGTAAATAGAACACGAAATTAAAAGAAATACAATTATTATAAAGATAATATATAAGATTTGGAATAATATTATTATAGTTGTACTCCGTATTATACAAATAATCCAAAAATAAAAGATTTTTGTTGAAAAGGGATGGGGAGTTTTGGAAAGAAAAAATAACACCAAGAAATGACACGTGTCATTCCTGGTGTCTATTTTAGTATTGTGTTATTGATTGATACTCGTATATATTAGTCTAATTTCCTAAGTTAATCATGTAATTTTTTATTTTTTTTTTTTTTTTTTTTTTTTTTTTTTTTTGCATTTAGGCTTTTATCAAAGTGTATTGTAAAGCAATGGTTAGCGACTTAGCGTTACATATATAAAAAGTCTAATTTAGTAATTGCCATGCATTCTTTCCAACATTGTCATCAAATCCTCATCTATTGCAAAAGACCAGGCTTCTTTTATAGTTTGGAAGATTCGGCAATAGACCTTACATATTAGGGGGGCAATACAATTGACCAATATTTACTTTTGTTGATATTAAGGGTCTGGACTCTGGACCCAACTTCAGAATATAATAATGGAGCAAAACGAGCATATGAAGCCTAAAGGTCGTTAGTTTTTATTAATTAAAAGCATACCCCTAATGTAAGGTACTCTTACCTTTTGCAAGGGTATTATCATTGACTGATTAGCATTTTTGCACCAACACCTATTCACAATCTTTTATTAAATTACTCGCAAATACAATTAGTAAATCATTAGTACTTTATAAAACTGAACAAATACATGCATATTTCCTCCGATCCTTTTCAAACACTCCCTAGAAATTCTGGAATTACTGATTATACACATTACACACTACTTGAGAGTCTAGAATCCTTAGACAAAGGAGTGAACAGATAAATAACATCAGAAGGTAAAAGAATATTGTACTCCGTAGCTAGTGTTTTGGCCTAATGATAGCAGATTTGACAATAAGCCCATTCTTCCAGTGACCACCATGCTCAAAGATATCGAAATTCAGATGTCCGGTTTCACCATCTTTTGCTTGGAAACTGCCCAAATTCAGTTCGAACCATTCTCCTATGGGATCCATCAACAAGCTAACTTGTCTTATCTTAGTTTCTCCACCTGGGACTATTAATCTCAGGTTTATTGGATGCTCCCACCCGGATGATGATTTTGTCAACTTAACTACGTACACGATCTCATACGTTACTCCTGGTGAGAGCTCCGACATCCCCAAGACTCCTCGCACGTCTAGCCAGCAGACAGTCTCCAGCTTCGCAACCTCAATATCATCATCACTAGTGTTTGATCCATAAATTAGTTACTGGTACTCGTTATTAATTGCGCATGCATGGTAGCTTAATTACTGTATTAGTAATAATAGATAATTGTTGTTTAAGTATATATAATACGTACACATGTACGTAATGCATTTGACAAAAATAATAACTCACTCGGTATCTTTGAAGCTATTCCAAGACCAATATTGGCTCTGAGACCAAGTGATGAAGAGAGAGCGCGAGTATAACGTGAAGCAACAATTTCCATCCTTGTCAAACCATAATTTCTACATGTAGCACGTATGTATCACATAAAACAATAATAACATAACCCAATTTTTTTTTTTTTTTTTTTGGTGCGAATAACATAATTCATGCAATGTAAGCTAGACACAATATATCATTGGCACAAGGAATAATACAAAGAAGATTGAATAAATTGAAGTATATGCTCTAACCTTTCTCTTATGCTCAATAAATTGTTCCTTACGTTTCTTTTTCCCTATCAGCTTAAAAGCTTTTGCCATTTACTCCGCGCAATTAGTTCCTCTATCTTTTTGGCATGGCATGTGGTCGATATGTAATTATGTATATATACTGTATAACGGCTAAGGCGTTGGGAATATAATCCAATTAATATTTCTAGTAATGTCACTGATAAACTCAATTAGATTAAAAATTAATTTACCGTTGGACTGAGTATCCATCGAAATTTTATCTAATTATAATATAATTAGGTATTTGATGACTTTAATTTCATATTGAAATCAAGTTGTTGGCTTAGCTTTAAGCTATGGAAGTTTAAGACTAATTCCTTCAATGTACAAGTTGTACAGTGTACACGTAGTTTTGATCTCTTATTAAAATCAAGTTGAGAAATAGATTATTCTTTTCCCCAAAGAGTAATCAGCTTACTATTTTTTTTTTTTTTGAGGGGGGGGGGAATTTTTTCTACATAGTAACCTTGTGATATTCTCTTTTCCAAGCTGTGCCCTCCCCTTTTCAAACTTCCACGCTGTAACCTCAAGGTACATTAAGTGATTACGCTGTAACCTTGGCGTTAACTTTCCGTTAGTTGTTACCGTTAGAGGGGCCCACTTTACACCCATTAATTTTTTTTCTCGATTTGTGTGCTAAAAAATGTTTCACTAGGTGTTTTAGGGGTCATTTTGAGCCCTTAAGGATCCAAATTGAACTCGGATTTGGCAAAAAAATAACGTAAAAGCCCCGTTTTGTGAATTTGGATTTCCGCAGTTAAAATTAGAATTTACAAAACGGGGCTTTTGCGTTTATTTTTTTTGTCAAATCCGAGCTCAATTTGGACTCTTAAGGGTCAAAATAACCCTTAAAACCTTTAACATGATATTTTTCAGCACGTAAATCAGGAAAAAAATATTAAAAAGTACAAAGTGGATCCCACTAATGTTGACCGTTAACGGTAGGATAATGCCAAGGTTATAACGTAATCACTTAATGTACCTTGAGGTTAGAGCGTGGAAGTTTGAAAAAAGGGAGGGACACAGCTTGGAAAAGTGAATACCACATGGTTACTTATGTAGAAAAACCCTTTGTTTTTTGTGGTGTTTAGAGAGCCACAAGGGCATGCGATGAGAATTGATCCAAAGATCTATTTAGACCGGGAGGGAAGCTCTAACCACTTGAGTTATCCCTCACTTTCAAATCAGCTTACGAATTAAGACAACTTGTGTGTGGATTTTTTTTTTTTTTTTTTTTTTTTTGGGAACTAACACAACATGTATTTTTTTTAATAGAATAGACACATATAATTTAAGCAACGCTTGTTGGAGAATTAAAATTACTTTTAAAAAAAATGGAAAAAAGTTTATTTAAAAGTAAATGATTAAAAAAAAAGAAGAAAATGAAAGAAAAAAAAAATACTCCCTTCGTGTTTTAATAAGTGTTACACATTGATCGGCACATAGTTTTAGGCAATTTAATTGACTTAAATAAAATAAGAGGTTAGTGAGGTGGTTGGAGTACTAAAAAATTGTAAAAGAAAGATAGTGGGGTTAATAGTTTATTGAAAAGTAACGAATATATGAGGAAAGAAATAATAAATAAAAAGTAGCAGTGGGTTTGGGTGGGAAGTCTGGGGACCATGAAAGGAGAAAGATATATATAATATTAAAATGTACTTTTTTGCCAAAAAAAGAAAGTGTAACACTTATTAAAACACGACCGCATTTGATAGATATAACACTTATTAAAACACGAACGGAGTAAAATAAGAGTGGAGACCATGGGTTGAGAGAACTATAATATGGAGCATAACAAGTGTAGAGATTTATATTTTTGTACGAACAATTTATAAAAGTGTTGCACCTAAAAAGCGAAGAGATTATCAAAAGGTGAGGTGCTACACAAGATTGGAAGTTTAATTTTGACGGCATGTTTTCTTCATCTGAAATAATTTTGTTGTACTAAACTTACTTTTTTTGACTTGGAATTATTTTATTTAAATTTTTTTTTTTTTAAACTTAAACTATTGTTTCTAGAATTAGGTTATTATTACTGATTAAAGCTTGCTTAACTGATTCACTATCATATGTCTTATCCATTCTTTTTTAATTGAAATGTTCTGACTTTTGACACTATTTACAAACACTACTTTGACTTACTTTTGTGATTTTTAGTTATGATAGTTTAATTTTGACGGCATGCTTTCTTCATTTGAAATTTTATTGAACTAAACTTACTTTTGTTGACTTGAAATTATTTTACTGAATTAAATTATTTTTTAAACTTAAACTATTGTTTCTAGACTTAGGTTATTATTACTGATTAAAGTTTACTTTTATTAATTCGCTATCATATTTTTCATCCATTTTTTTTAATCCAAATATTCTGACTTTTGATACTATTTATTACAAATCCTACTTTGACTTACTTTTATAATTATATTTTTAGTTATGATAAAACAAAATCATGTGGTTACACTTTCAGGATTTTTATTTTTTAATAATTAAAGATAAATATCGTTGAACTTGTTTGTTGGTAAATGTGATAAAGGAATGTAACCATGTCAGCTAATAAAAAACAGAGGAATGGAGTATCGATCCAAGGCAAGGAGTGGCATTTTGCCATGTGTCAATTTTTTTTTTTGTCATTTCGCCATGTCACTTTTAATTTTTTGCCACGTCACTTTTGCAATTGTATTATTGTATTTAAATGTGCTTTATTTACACCTTAGAATAATGATCAACTAGTGTATGCCCCGGGCGATGCCCCGGGTTGCTAGTTTGTGTACTTCTTTAATTTTATAATTATGTTAAATTGTTTGTATAGTTAGTGTGTGGTTCAGGCGTTGCCTCAGGTGTCAATTTTATTTTTTACCTCATATGTATTTATATTCTAATCTTGTGAAAAATAAATGAATTATATTACCTCTAATTTACTTAATAAATGAAAGAAATATATAATATTATGTGAAATTTGAAACATTAATAAGAGTTGGTTGAGATGGTAAATGTATTATCTTTATGACCTTTCAAATTAAAGTTTATGGGTTTGAATCTAGCTCAAAGTATATTTTATTTTGTTAAATGAGAAGTGGCAAGCTTATGTGGCGCATATACTTTGGATAGTGACATGACATTGTGACATGGCGCATATTTGAAGAGCTAGTGCCACATGGCATCGTCCCTTTAAAAGGAATGTCTTTTAATATACAGTATAGATTGTATAATAAATTAATTAATTCAATTATTGTTTCAACAAAACTATTATATCAGCTTTTATTACCCAACTTAAGTTTTCAACCGATAGTATTTAAGCACAATTGAAGTTATTGATTTCAATTCAACTTTAAAGAAAAAGAAGGTGTTACTTGCAAACCAATAGACTAGCCATTGTTAGTATTTATTTTGGTCACAATTAAAAAGTTAAATAATTACAATGTTTTAAATTGCTTTGACCCATTTAATTTGTAAAATTGTAATTGATATGTATTCAATATATTTATCTCTATAAATTAACTACCCAAGGAATGTCTCAAAAAATAAAACTACCTAAGGAAATGATACATTAAAACGGTCTAAACCTCTTGGAGAAATATTTTACTGGGTGAGTATTGTGTTAAGTGAGTATTTGTTTACTATATCTTACTTGACATGCACTGGATATATTTTGCAAGCTTAACTCATATTTTTACACTTTTGATAAATCACCCCAAATTAATCATGGCCTATATATGTTTTAAGCTATAAGTAGCATTTTGGTTCGATGATTGTGTAATACGTAGGATTTGCTATATTTTAATACGAGATTTCATTGGTTGATTTGCTTTATAGTTCACTCAAAGCTCTCAAGGTTAGTGCGTGTAAAATTCTTCATTATTCACTACTTATGCTCGTGGTTGAATATTGGTTTGATGGTCCATTTGTGCATCCAATTTAGAAAGGAAATTACATTTTTTTAAAAGGATATAATGCATGAAATAGAAGAAGAGAAACTAACCCGGGGCATTGCCCGGGTTACTAACTAATTTATGTTTATTAAAACTACTGATTTTTAAATAAAAATTAATTTTATAGAATGGAACTTATTTTTGCTTCATTTAGGTTATGTTCTTTTCACCTTATATTAACTTTTTTTTTTTGAAGGGATATATTAACTTATTTCAGATCTCATAAGTTATTGAAAAGTAAGTTCTGAAAAAAGTTGATAAAGGTTACCCAAATTCAAATTATATCTAAAATATTTTTTAATGAGGTATAATAAATTTAGAGAAGTTTAGGTAAGAGCTCTACCAATGGTGGGCTAAAAATATGCTCATGGGCATATTTGTGAGCAAGAAGGGAGAAATAAGGGTTACAATGGTGGGCTGAAATGACAAAGCCCGTGGGCAAATGTTAAAATGCCCAAGTCTTGGGCAGAATTTATGATGAACAGTGCAAGCGTGGGCCCAACTTAAATCAGAATAAAAAAAAGGAATTTCTGGACTGACGCGCGCAGAGCTTCACCGAATGGGACAGCGACACGCGGCAGGCTGCAGCGAATTAACCAATCAGAAAATAAAGTCGTTACACAACGGTTGTATATATTAAATCTGATTTTCTGAAAATTCTATTTATTAAAAAAAAATACTAACGGTCATAAAATTTAATTCTCTATAAATAGACATGCATTTTGGTATATTTTGGCATAATTTCATAAATAACAAAAATCCTCCATATTCTTTATTTTTCTAAATATTCCGAAATTAGAAGAAGATTTTTGCTGTATTTCACCGATTTTCGCTGACCACCAAGCTGCTGCTCGGAAGGACGTTGAAAGAGCTTTCGGTGTTTTGTAAGCTCGATTTGCAATAATACGAAAAGCATCATTGGCGTACGACGAGGACGTACTGCGGGACATAATGAAAGCATGTATCATTATGCACAACATGATTGTTGAAGATGAGTGCCACAACTATACTTGAGCCGAAGTTCTGAGAAGCTTCTACGAAGAAGATCAACAAGATTTAACAACAGCATCAACGTCTACAACGCCACCGTTTGAATTTAACGTAGGCTGACCTACCAACTTTGGCTTTAACTTATTTCTACAACAAAAAGCTTCCCTCCGTGATAGAGA